TTACATGCCTGGTCTACCAGCAGCAGAGGCCAACACTGAGTCCTCACTGTGGTTCCATTTCCCAGGATAATAAGCCAGCAACCTAATGACAGGATGATTATATTAGACCACTTATGTGGAAAGGGCAGTATTTCATTCTGAACTGGAATAGACACTTACTCTGAGTATGGATTTGTATTCCCCATATGTAATACTTCTAACAAAAATGAACTTACAGAGGGTCCGCACGCATCTCTACATGAGGCGGTATGGAGGCCTCTACCTCAGCCTCAACTTCAGTCCCTGCTTCAGCTGCAACTCCAGTGACCCTGGCTGTAAAGGAGCTGCAGCTGGAGCTGAACAAAATACAGGTTAAAAAGGTAGTGAAAGCTCTGTTAGCACATACAGAGTCCAGAAAAAATGTGAATGCAGTGCTTTTGAATGAGAATGAAAGTATCTTTTTAATGGTGGTGGTGTGGAAAATCCCAAAGAAAGAACTGCGGGTCAGACTGTCCTTGCCTCATGCTATTCGATCAGACTTAACAGAAATCTGTCTTTACCAAGGAGGAACCTGATTTCACATCTGAGAAGACAGAACAATTCTATAGGAATCTTTTGAACAAGCATAAAATTAAAACCATCTCTCAGATTACCCCCCTCCGAACTTTGAAACAGGAATATAAACCCTATGAAGCCAAGCTCTGCCTCTTGGGCAGTTTTGACTTCTTCCTGATTGATGAACATATTAAGAGGCTTCTGCCTTCAGTTATAGGGAAACATTTCTATCTCAGAAAGAAAGTCCCCGCATATGTGAACCTCCCGGCCAAGGACCCGTCAAAAGAGATTAATAGCTGTGTCGGTAGAACAATCCTGAACATCTCTAAAAATGGTTCGTGCAGCACTGTACACGTTGGTCACACTGGAATGAAGATGCAACACATTGTGGAAAACATCACTGCAGTTACAATAGGGCTTTCAGAAGAATTGCCAGAAAAGTGGGAGAGTGTGAAGCTCTTATACCTGAAAACTGACAAATCGGTTGCCCTTCCTGTCTTCTCTTTGGATGGGAAACAAGTACTCACTCATAGCCAGAAGAAAAAAACATGCAAAGAAAAAACAGAAAGAAAAGCTCCAGAAAAAGAGAAGAAAAGGAGAAAAAGGGAAATGCAATGGGCTGCAAAGGCTAAATCAGTCCCAACTCAGGAAAAGGATACAGCTGAAATCCAGAGTGCTGGAGCCCAGAAGGGGGAGCCCCCTGAATAGAAGAAAAAGACCCACAGAGTGAAAACCCAGTTGAAAGCGGTTGATGACTCCAAGGCTGAAATTCCACTACTGGTGCTGATGAAGAAAACACCTGCTAAGAAAAAAACCGTAGAGATGCCAAAGGGTGACATAGTAAAGAAGTCTCCACAAAAGAGCCCTGCTCCCAACACTCCTCTTAGGAAGAAAAGAAATACTGCCTCAGCTCTGGAGACCCTTAAAGCCACAGAGCCAGGCTCCCCAGCTACAGGCCCAGCAGAGCCAGGGAATCTGAGAAGAGACAGCAAAAGAATCAGCCTCTGCTCTGGGGAAGAAAGACTTGAGGCAGACACCCAAAAAGCCTGGACCCAAGTTCTTTGCCACTCCTAGTAAATCTGCCCAGAACCCCAAGCAACAGCCCAGAAAACCCAAAGTGTCCCTGTTACCCTAAACATGGCTCAGCCAGAAGGAATTACCAGAGCTTCCTGGAAGTTTAAAAAGACTCAGGTCCTGCCCTCAAGAGGGAGCCCTGGACCAAAAGGGTGTTCCAAACCACCACAGGTAACTCTGACACATGTTCCGAGGTGTAGTAAGAACCTGCAGTAAAATCTATTTTTAATTGTTATCCTGCCTATTTCCTACTAGAATGGGGGAAATACAGTGCTATTCTGTGGTTGTGTTTTTTGTTATTATTAAAGTGTACCATTTTCAAAAAACAAAAACAAAAAAAGAACTTACAGAAAGCCTTATTTTTAACTTATCATCTGTGAACAGACAGAATGGGTGATCCAGCAGCATCATATCCACACAGCATTGCTTCTGGCTAAGGAACTCACTTCACAGAGAATGAAGTGTAGCCATGGACTTGTGGTAATAGAATTCACTGATCTTACCATGTTCCCCATCATCCTTGAAGCAGCTGACTTGATAGAACAATGATTGACCTTTTAAAGATTCAATTATGGCATCAGGAAGGTGGTAATACCTTATATATTTGTGGGAAATTCTCTCCTGGAGTGTGTACGTGCTCTAAACCTCATCCAATATGTAGTACTCTTTCTCCCATAGCCAGGATTCATGTGTCTACAGATCAGGAGGTGTGAATGGGAGTGACATCACTCATTAGTTCCTCTAGTGATCCACTAGCAAATATTTTCCTTTGTGTCCCTGCAACTCGATACTGGTCTGGGAGCCTCAATTCCAAAGGCAGGGATACTTCCACCAGGAGATACAATAATGATTTTATTCAACTGGAAGTTAAGACTGTCACGTGACTGCATTGGGCTCTTCTTGCCTCTGAATCAACAGGCAAAGAAGGGAGTTACTTGTACTGACTGAAGCCTCTGTACCTGAAGACCAAGGAGAAATTAATACATGAAGAGAATGTTTGAAATACAGGAGACTCCTTAGCTACGACCATAACCTGTAATGAAAGATCTCAAACATTTCAGGTATCTCAAATATAGTTGTTTTCTTCCTTATCTTATCCCCCTAATTACCATATAATACAAGACATAGTAACTTTACACCATAGTATTTAAGTCACAGGGTAGAAAGGAGAATAGACGTCAGTCAAGGACTTTGCATCCTCCTCCTTTTGGTTGTGCACAGGACAGTTGTATGATGTTAGAAGTGTGACTTGGTTATTGTCTTTATTTGGAGGTTAAATATGGTTTAAAGAGATGTTCATGGGAGTCATGTTAATAAGGGATGGACTGTGATAGTTCATTTTCTGTCAGCTTGGCTAGGTTACAGTGTCTGTCTGTTTGGCCAAAGAGTAGTCCACTACACGAACATCATCTCTGCGACCTTGAGACCAGAAGAACTAGATGATGCCGAGCCAACACAACCAACTGCTTTGAAAGGGGTCTCATTAGAAGGTCCTGGAGAGAGTAGGATAAAGGTGGAACAAAACTCACAATCTTAAAAGTGACCAGGTTCACTGGTTGGATAGAAATGATGGAACCCAGAGATTATAGTCCTTGGTCACCCTTCAGATCTGGAACTGAACTCACCCCAGTGGCTGAATTTTCAGCCAAGTCATAGTGACATAGTGGGGACAACACTAGTGAGGTCTGCACATCATTGTATGGCCAAGCATTCAAGCTCAAAAGGGAAGCATTTACCTGAAGACAAAATTCAGAAGGATTGGGAAAAAAGAAGGAATGGCAACATGAAACACAGGAAGTGGGCTAAGTGATGTTTCATGGAGGGTCTTGCAATCATTGAGATGAAATGAAGTGTATGGTTTGCTGAATGGAAAACAGATTAACTGCTCTGCACTCAATCCACAATAAAAAGTTAAAAAAACAACACTAGTCTAGACTTGCTATGAAGGTGTTTACATATCATTAGCTATCAGACAGAGACTCTCGAGCTGGGTCTGAGTTCTCTGCCCCTTTGTGCAGTTTGCCAACATACTCCACTCAAGACCAGGAAAGGAAAGGACTTTCCTAAGCCATCATTATTTTATTCTTTTCCCCACAGCCTGCTCTCTCTCGCTCTCTCTCTCTCTCTCACACACACACACACATACACACATGCAACCCACAGGCACTTGTTCTTTTCCAAGCCCTGCTTTGACCTGGACTTGGCCCTATTCCCTTAAAGTCTTTGGATATAAGGCAATGTGCTGGAAGTAGAAGGAGTGGGGAGTAGGAGTGAGGATGGATAGGGACACGATAGAAAAGGAAGGAGAGAAAATAATGATACAAATGACACAAAAATTTGAGTGCCTTCTGTGTGCTAGGTACAACCCAGAAGTCCCCGCTCACCCATGGGAAATACATTCCAAGATCCCTACTGGATGCCTGAAACCACAGATAGTATATAACCCCATATATACTATGGTTTTGTCTATACATACATACTTATGAAAATGTTTAACCTATCAATTGGGCACAGTAGAGATGAAGAGTAATTAATAACAAAATAGAAAAATTATGGGATAAAAGATACTGAAATGCAAGCAGCATAATACTACAGCAGTGATGTGACAACTGAGATGACTAACAAGTGGACAGGGACACACTGGACAAAGGGGTGATCCATGTCCTGGGTGGGACGAAGTAGACAGATGTGATTTCATTGCATCACTCGGAATGGCACACAGTTTTAAAGTTTACAAATGCTTTATTTCTGGATTTTTCCACTTACTATTCTTGGACCACAGTTGACCAGAGGAAGCTGAAATTGTGGAAAGTGAAATGGAGGATCAAAGGGGATGATTGTGCTATACTTCGCTCTCTCTCTTACAGATGAAGAAACTGAAGGTCAGAGAGTCAGGTAGTTATTATAGTAAAATGGGAGACCTGGAATTTGAACCCAGCATGTCTGAGGACAAAGCCAACCTCAACTCTCTTTAGAGAGCACTGTAGCTCTGTAGGATAAGCATGGACTACAAACCACAAGGTTGATGGTTGAAGGCCACAAGAAAGATGAGGCTTTCTGCTCTTGCAGATTTAAAGCCTCAGAAACCCTATACAGAGTCACTATGAATCGCAACCGACTGGACGACACTTCACCACAACAATAAGAACTCCTCTTTAGTGTCTTTCAAAGAGGGACGGTAGGGAGCTCAAAGACTCCTAGGTTCTGAGTGCTTCTGGGGACGCTGGAAAAGGCACCTGTTCTTGAGTGGAGCCCCATGGCCCTTGAGGTTCTAGTCCCGCCTCTTGAGAACCTACAGAGACCTTAGAAACCAGACCCAGTTCTCTGGGTCCTGGGGACACACTGACATCACAGTCCCTGATCATGGGAAATGGATAACAGTCTTGTGAAGAATGGATAAGCACGGTGAGTGGGGTTAAAAGCAGGGAAGGTCCCATGACAAGGCCTCTTGACTCCATCCACCCATTACCATGGCAACCCAGAGTAGGAGTCTGGCCTTTACTCAGGTTTGACTATTTCTTTATAACACTTGCTCCCTCTTCTTTGCCTGCTCCTGTTCAGACCCTAGACTTCTCTAGACTGTTGTTGTTGTCAAGTGCCATCGAATCAGTTCTGACTCTCAGCAACCCAGTCGAGAGTTTCTAAGGAATGGTTGGTGGGTTTCAACTGCTGATCTTGTGGTTAGCAGTCCAGTGCTTATCCTACACACCAGGCCTCTAGACTGGACCATTGTAATGACTCCTAAATGGGTCTCCCTCAGCACTGTCAGACAAAACATCTTAAAATATATTTCTGAGCATGTCCCTCCATTAGCAGGCTTCCCACTGCTGAGGGACAAAGTTCATATTCCAGTCCCAAACTTACTTTCCATTTTTCCTTTCTAAAATGTTTCTGGTACCTTTTTCTGGTTGAGTATTAGGCCTGGCATTTTATAACCAGAAAGCTCCTTAATACATTTTCCTGAATAAAAGTTTAAATAATGGACTCTGGTTCTCCAGCTTTAGCAACACCAAGAACTGGCAAAATCTTTGAAATGACTCAACAGGTTTCAAAAATCTTGAGTCAGATTCATGGGCTCTGTTTCCTGCCTCCTTATCAACCTCAGAAGGCTGTGAAATTAAGAGGCACAATGTCTCAGAAGTAGTGAGTGATTGCTTGCACTGGTGCTCAGTACATGTAAGTTAGAACACTCATTCTTATTACCTCCCTTTGTCCCCAGTAGAAAATGTTCTTGACCCATCCATGGAAAACCCAGACATTGTGTCTTCCTAGTCCTCCCTCCCCCTTTTTTTTTCATTACAAATCTAGCTCCTCAGTTCAAGGAACAGTAGGGTGTGTGTGGTGTTGCTGGAAGATTGGAGTGGATGCCTTGAGGCAAAAGCCAGGTTGGTTTCCTTGTCAGGACACAGACTTCTAGCTTGGTTTGTGGCTTCTGTTCCCTGAACAAAGGAGCTGAGGAGTCACTTCTGACTCGTGATCGCCCTACTGGACAGAGGAACTGCTGAATAGGATTTCTAGGCTACAGATCTTTATGTAAGTCGATGGTCACATCTTCCTCCTGTAAGGTGCCCGCTGGATTCAAGCTGCAGACCTTTCGAATAGCAGCCACACTTAGCCACTGCTCCAGCAGGGATCCTCATGGTTGGTGGTGATGTGCCCTGGAGTCGGTTCCGACTCATAGCGACCCTGTACAGGGTTTCTGAGGCTGTACATCTTTATAGGAGCAGAAAGACTCATCTTTCTCCTGCGGAACAGCTGGTAGCTTCGAACTTCGACCTTGAGGTTAGCAGCCCAATTCGTAACCACTACGTTACCAGAGCTCCTTAGGGAATACTCATAAGGATCCCTAGCTGGCAGTTGACATCAAGCCTGGAGGAAGGAAGAAACAGCTTTTTCTAATTGGTTTGCTCCTCAGGGAAGCCTTTTCTTGATTGGTCTGCCCATAAGGGGCATTTTTCCAATTGGTCTGCCCCTAGAGGGGCTTTTTCCTAATTAGACAAAGGCATTGGATCTCAGCTGCCTGTCCACTCCACCAACGTCCTCTGTAACCCAAGTCTACCTTGAGGAAAGAAATTTTGGTCAGAAAACAATATATTAAAAATACACATATTAAAATTACAATTCATGCAATTAATGTTTGTTGAGAGCCTGTTGGAAAGGGGACTTTTTGTTAAGTGTCCTCCAGAGGCATTAAATCTGTGGGAACAGAAAGCCTCATCTTTTACCTCAAGAGTGGCTTGTGGCATTGGCTACCCAAAATGGGGGGTTTACAAAGGCAAGAAGTGACTGGCTTACAAGCTTTCAAGAGGGAAGCTAGATTCATAGGGCATGGAGGAAGGTAGAATCTCCACTGAGTAGTATACAATCTGTCTAGGCGGGGCTGATGAAAGGAAATGCGGATAGGTCTCTTGTGATACAATAGTGAATAATTGTTATCAGGAGTGATTGTGAGGGTTGGAAATGTAAAGGTAGACATTTTTTAGTAAGGAAGGGAGTGATTAACTTTTCAGCCTAAGAGTGGAGGTCCCTGGGACCATCAAGGGAGAAGAGTGGAGAGCAGGACCCTACCCAGAGAAGCAGTGATGCCTGAGATGGAGGCAGAGACGATGAAGTGGAAAGATGGAGCTGTTGGGGACTTTAGACACAGAGAGGGAGAGGGGCTGTGTGCTGATGACCAGGGGGCATGCTTGTAGTGTATACCCTTTGGATGGTTGATGATGCATGGAGGGGATTGTAACCATAGCAATGAAATGATATACTATAGGATGAATGTAAAACTAATGTTCTCCCATGTGAACTATCACATAATTCACAATAAAACGTTAAAAAAAAAAAAAAAAAAAAGAGTGGCTTGTGGGCTCAAACCACCAACATTGTGTTTCAAAGTACAGTGTTTATTCTGTATAGCCGGGGAGCACTTCCTAAAGGGAGTAGGGAGTGGCTGTTTCCTCAGATATGCTGGGTTCAAATTCCAGGAGTCCTGGTGTGGTGATATGGGCTAATGCATCACATTGCAAAGTCTTTTGAACTGCAAGATCGGTGGTTCAAGCTCACCAGCTGCTCCTTGGAGACCCTATACAGGTTCGTTATGGGTCAGAATCGACTCAAAGGTACTTAACGACAACAACCCTAAAGTCAGAAGAAATTTGGCAATGACTGGTCATTTCTTCTCCATTTGTGGTTCTCACCTTCACAAGGTGTTATCTATTGTTAAGTGCTTCTCATGCACCAGGCCCTGGGCTGGAGACTTTACACAGATAAGATCTCATATCAACCTCACAACAGTCCTTACCATAGGCACTTACAGATTAAAAGACGGAGTCTGAAGAAGTGATGTGACTAGTCTGGGATCCTTAGCGTAGTGGTTACGAATCGGGCTGCGAACCGCAAGGTCAGCAGTTCGGAACTACCAGCCGCTCCGCGGGAGAAAGATGAGGCTTTCTGCTCCCGTAAAGATTTACAGGGTCGCTATGTGTCGGAACCGACCTGACGGCACTTAACAACAACTCTTATCTTAATCTTAGTTACGAAGAGCCGTCAAGTCGGTTCCGACTCAGAGAGACCCTGTATAGGGTTTCCCAGGAGCTTCTAGTGGGTTTGAACCATCAATCTTGTGGTTAGCTGTCCAGTGCCTACGAGATCACACCAGGCCTTTAGGAAGTGTGTGTAGGACCTGGAAACTGATAGTAAACAGGCTCTCCTTCGCTTGGGAAATCCCCGTACTCTGTAACTCTGTAACAAGCGGTCATACGCATCATCCTTCAGGCATCTGCCTTTTTTGGGGAGTGGGGGTGGGTGGGAGGTGGAGGTCAGCTGTGGGCAGCATCAGGGTACCCGGACCATTCACTGGGGAGAGAGATTGGACTGAACTTCCCGCCCGTAGGCGTGAAGAGCCCCTTATGGAAGAAGGAACTGGAGGAACCTCGGGTCAAGGAGATGGAGGAAAAAGAAGAGGAAGAAGGGTCGGAAGAGGAAGACGAGAAGAGGCAGATGGCGGAGAGCGAGACCGCAGGCAAGGAAGTGGCTGCAGAAGGCGAGGGGCGCGACCGGGGCTCGGTGTCCTATTACCCGCTGCGCCAGGAGTCCAGCACCCAGCAGGTGGCGCTGCTGCGGCACGCGGACGGCGGCTTCTGGGCCTGGTTCAGCCCCTTCGCGCTGCTCGGAGGTTTGGGGGCTCCCGCCGACAGGTGAGGTCGTGCCCTGGGCCGCTCGACCCCAAGAGTCGTTCTGCCAGGCAGAAGACTAGGTACCGGGCAGGATGGAGTGGTTGCCGGGGTTTCAGGGTGAAGGGGACAGGATCATGCACTGAGCTCCCGGGTCCCCGCCCGCAGAAAGAGGAGCCTCCCGGAGGAACCCTGCGTATTGGGGAAGCGGCGGCAACGGCCGCGTGGTGGGGGCTGTGCGCGCTGCGAGATCCTTTTCTGCAAGAAATGCAGGAGTCTGCACAGCCACCCAGCCTACATAGCGCACTGCATTCTGGAACACCCGGACCTGGGTGAGGTGAGGGCTTCAGGAAGGGCGGGAGCCGTCTGGGGCTCTTGAGTGCTCGTACCACCCCCCCCCCCCCCCCCACCCACCCCCCCCCCCCCATCATCAGCACACAGCCCCTCTCTCCCTCTCTGGTTGTAAAGTCCCCCCCCGCCCCCAAGCCTTTGTGTCTCCATCCTTACCTGACCCCAGACTCTCTGCAACGTTCTCCACAACCTGATATAGAGGCCTCTCCAGCACATTCCACAGAACTGCCCCTTACCAGAACCATCATCCCCTCAGTCAAGAAGGCCCACTGTTAATGCTGCGTTCCCACCCAATGAGAGCTCCGTTCCTCTAATATCGCCTCCTGAGGGCTTCTAGATCAAGGCACCAACCAGTGTCAACCGCTCAACTGACTTGGTTCGGACACAACCTCGCATTCATCTCTTGGGTGTTTCAGGTCCTTCTGGCTCTTCGGGCAGAGGCATCCCCTCAAGAAAATAACCTCCCATTTCCTTCCCTCCTTTGAGAAACCTGTCCATCCCCTCAAATTCTTCAATAAAACCTCTGATCAAAATATCACTTCCTTGAGTTGCCGGTGAGGTGCCTAGGGGCGGGGGTGCTAACCAACCCTTCTCATCTCTCTCTGGGGTTCCAGCCAAAGGGAAAAGGGTGGGCAGAGAATCTCCTCCCTCCACCTCGCCTCTCCCTGATCAGAGCTGTACAATGCCCTGCATGCAAGGGCAGACAAAGGCCATTCTCCCCACTGTGCAGAGAAGGAAATGAAGGCCCAGGGCCAGAAACATCCGGTGAGAGTTAGGAGCTGAACCCTAGTCTGACCATCCTCCCCTCCTCCTGGAAAGCTGGTCTTGCTAGGGCTAATGAGGCACTGGCAGGTGTGTCTGTACGGTTTGAGGGGAGAGGACTAGAGAACTAGATGCTAAAAGCAGACTGGTTAAAGCAGAAGGGGGTTGGGGCTCTGGTTGTTCCTTCTCCAGGAATTCCAGCTATTTTTGGCCAGCTGGTTGGAGCTCCAAGAATGCTGTATGTGTGGCCTGGAGAATGGGGCTATTGTGAGGACAAGGCCTCCTGCCAACCTGCAGGGCAAGCAAAGCTTTAAGGTCCTTAAGCCAGAGCAGAGGCTGCATCCCCAAGACCTGCAGCCCTGGAGGGAGTCCCCTGCTCCCTAATACACGTGGTTCTCCATCTGGCCTGGAAGGAGCAGGCTGTTTTGCTTTTTAAGGCAAGGCAAGTCCCTTCCACCCACTATAACCACGTGTGCACGTGCATACATGCACGCACGTGTACACACACATACACAAATGGTCAGCCCTGGCTTCATTACAGGCATTATCCCAACTTCCTCAGCATCCACACCCACCTGCTCTCACTGGAAAGATGGAAGAATGGTTACAAGGAAAGCTAGTTCCACTTACAGCCCACCAGTTAGGGGCTTCTCTTTATTCCAGTCCATCACAAAAAGCTGGAATCTAGAAGGTCTGCATAGTTACCCTTCTGCTGAGGGTCCTGACCCCTCTAGGGCCTGCGAAGTTGGAGACCCCATACTTCAACCTCATTGAAGTTTAGGGTGGCGTCTCCTTTTAAATAAGACACAATCCTCTAATGACGAAAGCAGGAGCTCCTGAGGGTCAATGGACAGGGTCCCCAATCCCCAGTGGGAAGGTCCCAGGCCGCAGTAGAGTTTTGCATGCTCTCTGCTTGGATCCCAGTGCTGCCTCCTTGTGGTCAGAATCTGAAACAAACTCACCAAGGCTTGGAAAGAACGAAGTCTTTGGAGAACAGGCCTTGGGGTCAGGGACACACACTTGGATTAATCCACCCCCAGAAAAACCAATAGATCCGTTTTAGAAGAAGTGCAGCCAGAGTGCTCCTTGGAGGCCAAGATGGCGTTCTCATATTTTGGACATAATGTCAGGAGGGACCAGTCACTGGAGAAGGATATCTATCATGTTTGGTAAGTTGGAGGGTCAGAGAAAAAGAGGAAGACCCCCAGCAAGATGGATTGGCCAAGTGGCAGCATCAATGGACTCGAGCGTGGCAACAGTAGTGAGGTTGGCCCAGGATCGGGCAGTGTTTCATTCTGTTGTGCATAAGGCCGTTATGGGTCGGTACCGACTCGATGGCACCTAACAATAACAACAACAAATCTCAGTGTAGTGGGAAGGGCACAAAGAAATTGCCACATTCTCCAGAGGACAAAGGCTCCTGGTGGAGGCTTTCCTGCTCAGTCTTCCACAAGGAGATTCAGAAGTCCCGCCCTTGGGGCAGAGAAATCCAGTTGGTGATGAGGTAAGTGGTGAGGCCTTCAGAACAGGGCGCCCCCCGAATTGGCGTGCCAGCATCCCATCCAGGGCAACTCAGGGGCCCAGCGGCCTGAGGCGGTCGTCCGCAGTTTGTCCTGGTCCAGGCGCCAGTAGCGGTCATCTCGAAAGAAGATGATGGAGCCATCCGGCCGCGGCAGGGCGCCGCTGACTTCCTCAGGGACACCGCCCCAGTCCTGCAGGTCACGGGGATAGTAGGGCTCCACTTGCAGCCCACCTCGGTTCAGCACGTAGTAGCGGGCACCCTTGAAGAGGACGAGGCGGCGCATCAGAGGAAAGAAGAGGGCGGTGTCTGGGTGACGGGGCAGGCCCCCTGCCCTGCACAGTTGTGGGGAGCTCCACACTGGCTGGGAACCCCGGAATCTCCAGCATCGACTCCCTATGAGACATTGGGAGAGCCAGGGTGAGCAGGATGCTGTCGACCTTATTCCTCCATCCCACGTTTCTTCTATACTCCACCCCACCCTACCCCCGCCATGTTGCAGCCCAGGTTTGTTGGGATTTCGAATAGTTCCTCATAGCTATAAGGAACTTTGGTGTGGCGCTGTGGGTTAATGCACCAGACTGCAAAGCCGTTTGAACTGCAAAGTCGGCAGTTCAAGCTCACCAGCTGCTCCTTGGAAACACTATACAGGTCAGAACCGACTCGACAATAACAACATAAGTAACTTTGGTAGCATAGTGGTTACAAGTTGGGTTGCTAACCTCAAATTCAGCAGTTCGAAACTATCAGTCATTCCACGGGAAAAAGATGAGGCTTTCTGCTCCCATAAAGATTTGCAGTCTCTGAAACCCTATGCAGGGTCGCTCTGAGTTAGAACTGACTCCACGGCCCACCACCACCACCAATCATTAGTTATTAGCAGGAGGGGCGGTAGGAGGGCAGTTGTGGGTTAGCCTTTTAGGAGGTAAATAGTACTGAATGAACTTGTTTACCACACACAGAAAGCAAATCCCTCCTATCCACCAAATGAAGGAATGGAAAATAGGCAAAGCCAGGAATTTTCTTCACCACCAAGTGGTAACTAACTAGTTATTTCTGTGAGGACAGGAAGTTTTGTTTTATTCACTGCTGTCTCCAATACCTCCAACATGTCATTAGTGCATAGAAGGCACTCAATCTTTGTTGAATGAGTGAATGAATGAATTCTACTTATTGAAGCATAGCTATGCATCTGGCTATGAACAGCTCACTCTTCAGACTTTATGCTCTAATTCTTCCACCAAACCTAAGGTATTATTTCCCCCCCCCCATTCAAGAAATTCAAGCTTAGAACGTTGAGTGCAGATCCCGCCTCTCATAGCCAGGATTCCAAGGAAGGGACACATCTTTCTGCTGAATTTGGGAGCTCAGGAGTGGTCCTCTCTACATGCCTTTAGACTCTTCCCAGAAACTCTTTCCTCCCTCTGTCTCTTCTGTAACCCTGATACCTGCCCAGCCCCCACTCCATCACAGAAAAGAAACCCCTGGTGGTGTCTTCCTTGGCATCACATGTTCAAATTGGAATCGAGACTACCATGGACTTTGGGTGGGGGAGACTCTTCCCTCTTTTGTCTTCTTGACCTTGGATAAGACACCTCCCTTAGAGGCCTCAATTTTCTCATCTGGCCCAGGGCTGGTACCTTTGAAGAAGTAGAAGTCTCCATTCTCCAATGACACTGCTGCTGCCTCAATGTGCGGGGGCAGCCCAGCCCACTTTTCCTGCAGTGGGCGGGGCTCTGAGATGTTGCCATCAGCTGCCACCTCCCAGAAGTGGTTCCCTTTAAAAATATACAGTCGCTGCTGCCCGTCTGACCGGAGACATGAAAGAAGAGAGGAATAGCCATGAGCCTCCTGGCTTTTTGAGGAAGACACTTCCCTAGAAGCCAGCTTCCCAGACAGAACAGCAGAGGATGAGAACGTAGCCTGCACAGTTGGAGCTGAGTGGAAAGTGGGCAGAAGGCAGTGTATTTTGCCTGCTGTGGGCTGGCTCCCTGGCAAAATGCATCTGACCTGGGGTTTCTGCATTTTATAACTCGTCCCCCCTGCCCCAACCTGGTCCTCCAGCGCTGGAGATCCCTGGAGATGTGGAGGTGAAGGAAGGAAACAGTGAGACACAGCACAAGGTGGGGCCATCTTACCTATAGTGATGGCATCGAAGGAAGAGTGGCAGTATTTAGGACCCCGGGTTTCAGGACTCCTGCCCTGGGAACTGCCAAGGTCCCAGGCCTCAAAGTCAGTGAACAGCTTTCCCGGGAGCTGGACAGTCACAGAGCCCCCGAGGGGCTTTCCTTCATGAGGAGGGAGAGAACACACATGGAAGGGGCTATACTGAGGGCCCAAGACCTCTTTCTTGGTTCCTTTCATCATTATCTGAGGAACAGGGAAGGAGAATGGGGGTGGAAGGCTGAATTGCCCTGGTGTTGGTGTTAACCACTGCACTGAACTCTGGAGTCGGGCCAAGAGGGCCCTGTTGAGATAAAATTGGGGTCAGGTGCAAGCAAGCATTTGGGACTAGGAAGGGCAGAGGGTCCTGAGTCCGGGTGGCTTGAGGGCATGTTCAGGGACTCAGGCTGTGATAACTGTAGCAATGATACTAATAATCATTATTATCCTTCCCTTATGAGAGAAGTGAGGCAGAGTTCAATGAACTTTAAATTTGACAACTCCTTATTCTGGTCTTCAACCTCCTAGCTGTGTGAGCAAGTTACTTACTTGAACCTCACTGAACCCCATTCTCTTTATCTGTGAACAAAAAGCTACTTCTCTCAGGGGTGTTTTGGGAATTTGATAAGTGCCTGACCCAGGGTTGTTGTTGTTATTGTTGTTAAGTGTTATTGAGTCGTTTCTGACTCATAGCAACCCTGTGTAGCATTATCTGAGGAGCAGCTAGTGAGTTTGAACTGTGGACCTTGCCGTTTAAGCCGACCTTAAGGTAGAATTCTATGCTACAGCACCACACCAGGACACTAGCAGCTATTACTGTGACATGTGTGCAGACTTCTCAGGCTGCAAAACATGTTCATACCCACTAGCAATAACAGCCCTATGGGTAAGTAGGACCTTAATTATTATCCCCTTTTCACAGAAGGTAAAACTGAGGGCATTCAGAGGGGAATTGCTTTGCCCAAGGGTTAGTCAGATAAAGAATGGTGAGTTGAACCCAGGATTCCTGGCTCTGTGTGCCACACACCATGCTGTGTGGGAGGGATGAAGGAAGACCTGCTGAGGTCAGGGTTGGGCCGGAGTCCAGCAACTGGACTGCAAGAAAGAACTGCACAGTAATTGGACGGGCCAAGGTCTGGGGGAGCAGGAAACCAAGGATAGGGTTTTCAGGCGTCAGGGAGCTCAGGATTAGGGAGGACCAAAGTGGGAAGGAGTGGATCTTGATGGATGGATCCCCATCCGTTTAGGATGGGGAATCTGAGTTGAGCAGTGGATGTCCAAGGACTGCAGATGTGACGTCAGGGGTGGGGGCTCACCATACAGGCTCTGCACCGCCAGCACGTCGTCCCAGCTGAGCAGTGCGTCGCGACCCAGTCTCTTGTAGTAGGGTGCCATGAGCGCGCGCGGCGCAGGTGAATGGGACAGGCCGAGTGTGTGGCCGATCTCGTGAGCCAGTACCACAAACAGATTGCGCCCGCGACGGCGACTCAGAGACCAGTGCTCATCTAGGTCGAAGTGCGCTTCGCCTCGGCGAGGCAGGAAGGCATGCGCCAGGGCGCCCCCTGTAGGCGACGCAGTGAGTTAGGGGACGGAATGGCCCATTCAGCTTTCAAGGTTCTACAGTCTTTGAGGAGAGCATGAGGAGAATGGGGGACTAGCTATTTTCCGCTGTATAATTTTCCTCCCAGTTAAGTCTGGCAGAAGCTGGAGTGTGACAGATGACTAAGTTGTGGGGCATGGACGTCTAAGAGACAGCGGGGTGTAGAGACAGTGTGGGCTAGGCTTGTTAATATGGCTGAGTTGGTTCCGACTCATAGCGACCCTGTATAGGGTTTCCGAGGAGCGACTGGTGAGCTTGAACTACCGATCTTGAGGTTCAAACCGACCTTGCAGTCCAGCGCATTAACCTGCAGCGCCACACCAGGACTCCATGTGAGCCAGACCTCTGGGGTTCAAATTCTAATTTTACCATTTAATACCTGTGTGACTTTGGGCAAGTAGCTTAACTTCTCTGTGTCTCAGATGATGATTAGAAATTGAAAATGAGCTGCTTTCTTTTGTTCTGAGGACAGTTGTCCTGAGGATTAAATGTTTGTGCGTGCTAAATTGATAAATATAATACTTAGAACAGTGCTTTGCACGTAAGTGTTACATAAGAATTATTTTCAAAAAGCTCTAGGAGACCTAAACCTGTTCTGAAATGAACCACTGAAACCATGTTCTGAGATCATCTTTAAATCTCAAATCATAAAACATTTCCTGAAGTCTTCTTAAAACCAAACAATAGTTTAGGGGAGCTAGTAAAGAATGTCTGCCTTGAACAGTGTGTTCTTTAAAGATGTATCTATACAGGATGAAATTGAACAACAAAAGATTAGATGGGAAGCTTGTCAAGTAGTGAGTTTATGTTAATGAGGAGGAGCAACTAGGAAAAGGAGGGTGAGAATGTCATCAATGTCACCGGGTGATACAGGTGGAAATCATTGAATTAATGTATATTCTGCTGTGTATATTGTTAACAATGAAAATAGAGCAGCTGTAGGTAAGACCCGAAAGAGGGCAGGATGGAACCTTCAGGGGTGTTGGAAATGTTCTGTTTTTCTCTCTGCGTGTGTTCAATTTATGAAAAGTCACCAAGGTGTAAATTTATGACGTGTGCACTTTCTGTATGTGTATGTTTTCTTCAATAAAGAGTACATAAATTTATATACTCTTTGTTCTTACCCTTCCTCCTCCAAGGCTCCTCTGTGGGCCTCTACCTCCCTGCTTGTAAGAGTAGTTGGGAGCTGGGCTGGAGTAGTGATTCTCAAGCTTCAAACGTGCTCCACACGTAACTTAATAGGTATGTAGCTTTTACCCCTTGTAGTTCACTTTCCCCAGGGTAGGTGCATCAGCAAACTACACTGTGGTTATGTGACTTAGAGACTTGTTGAGGGACCTTCAGAGCTACCTTCTTAGAGTCCAGGCCAACTGGGACCTGGCAAACGTTGAGAGGCAGGCATTAAAGGACAGCCTCACAGGGCCATGGAGAGGCCATGGGGAATACAAACCTCTTAGTTTGACTATGCCTCAACCTTTTTTTGAGCACTGTTAGTTTCAGCCATTGTGTTTCCCCTGAGATATGGTTTCAAAGAGGAAGATAAAGTATCTCTTCCACATGAGAGGAGCAGCTTGGGGAGCCTGGTGTCAGTGCTGGCTTTGCTACTGACTCAGCCTGGGTATCGATGCAAACATCTCATGTGGGTGTCATGGGTAAAGTGGGTTATATGTAAGCACAAGTGTTTGCTACATGTGAATCCACAAAGCCTGTGTTTGCTACACGTGAATCCACAAAGCCTGTGTTTGGTAGGCTTGATAGAAAGCAGGACGGTGACGAGGTGGGAGTGGGGGAAGACAAATCCCCCAGGCACAGAAATAGCACTGTAGGTCTCCTCCCTGAAGGGGATCAATCAGATTTCTTTTCATCAATAGAGACAAGCAGTGGGTCTGTGCTCAGGTTCTAAAGACCATTTAAAGTGCAGCTAGAATCCTTCAGGTTAGACAAACAGGGAAACTGTCTGTGTCTCTGAATATGTGAGCCATTTTTGTGGCAAGCAGCGGTAAAACCCCTCCTGTCCTATGGCCGTGGGGAGGGGTAGGAGTGGGTCCTACTTTGAGGGTCCTGCTCTAGAGAACACCCATTCTGCAGAACTAGAGAGGTACAGGCCTTTCCAGAGACCAAGACCTCAGAAGCTTCTTTCAGAAGAGAAAATATTCTTCAGCATTTGCAAAGCACTTTCTTTACAGAACCTCATCTGACCTTCCCTTCGGCCATGTGGTACACAATTGGGCAGGGACCATTGTTCCCATTTTACAGATGAAGGCTGAGGGCTCTTTAGTGGGGGATGCAGCTTGCCTGAGGCCACAGGGAAGAGTGAAGGCTCAGCTCATCCACACCTACACTGCTTCTTTTGGTTGTGTTTTCCTCCTGTCTTCAGAAGCCCTGGCCTGAGTGTGGGAGAAAAAGACGTTTGTGGGGATGGACAGTCCGAACCTGGGCCATCGAAGGCATTGCTCAGCCCATCGTTGTGGTCTCCTTGGAAGAAGGTGAGGCGGATGTCAGCAGGACCTGTGGCTGGGGCCTCCCAGAACTCCAGCGCCGAGACGTTGCTCCACAGCTGGAAGGCGGCACGCACAGCCCCCCGAACTGCAGGCTCAGGTAGGTGCTCAGGCCAGTTTACCAGGCGGTAGGAGAGGTGCTGCTTGTACCACTTGCTGCCTGCCATCCAAGAGGCTGTGTCAGTTATGGCTGCGACTGGTCCCTGCAGAGCCCCAGAGTGATTGGGAATAAACTTACCCTGGGCAAGCCCCGGATCTGATGGGGAAGGCACAATAGTCTTTGACTTGGGGGACCCAGTCTAGCTGGGGAGACACTGCCTTGTGCTTGGATGGAGAGAGAAACTACCTCAGTCTGGAGAAACCCAGTCTGATGATTTTCATGGGGAGAACCCAGTCTGATGGGGATATAGCTCTGCCCAGGAGGGCTTCCCAGTCTGAAGGAGTCTAAGGAATCGGACCCTCTGGTCTAGGTCCAATTCTCTTTCCTAAGAACAGTTTCGTGCTCTTACTGGCACAGAATCCAGCCCCAGCCTCCCATGTCAGAACAGAGGAAAGGTGGGAACGCCAGGCCGCAGCTGTGGCTCCCTCCCTGCTCTTCTCCTTCTGTCCACCCCTCCCGCTATCCCACCACCTCCTGAGGCTTCACCCTGCCCTTTCCACTGCCTCAGGCAGGGTGGCTAACCCACCACAAGACCCATTCATTTGAGGTCCTTCCCTGTCCCCCTTGCCCTCCCCCTCGCTTCCTCCGGGACTCTGCAGAGCTCTGAGGTGAAAACAAATAAGAAAAAAGGGTGTGTTTTGTCACTAAGAGGAATTTTTCCGTCTCTGCTCAGTTAAGCATTTCTCTTCCTTAGCTCCAAGCTGAAGTAATTCCCTGAGTGTTGAGACTCTGGTCTTTTGACCTGGTCCCAGGTCACCTGAGTCTGGGTCTGTTTGTAGCTCCCCATACACTTGGAAACAAGATGGTTAGATGGTCCAGATCCAGAGTTTCAGTGCTGTTTCTGAGGCCTGCAAACACATCCCTGCTGTGACTCCATGTCCTAATCTGGAGGCAGGACCTGGGGTCCAGAGAAAACACAGGAAATGTATTGCTTTTCGGAGCCTTGTTGTTAAGTGCCATCCAGTCGGCTCTGACTCATAGCAACCCTATAGAGGGTTTCCAAGGAGTGCCTGGTGAGGCTATATGCAAAAGGACCAGAATTTCTGAAGCATGGACAATGGACAGAGGCCAGCAGAGAGATGGGCACAGGCCACAACCCCCTCTTCCCTTGGGAGGGCAGGTGCCCTGTAGGCCCACAGCAGGTTCAAGCCATCTGCCCCTTTGCCTGAAAAAGACAGGGGGAATGAAATCATGGAAGTTTGGCCCTGTTCTTTCCAACGTCTCTGTTCTATTTGAGGAAATTGAGAACCAGGGTCCAGGGTCACAGAATGAGTGACTGGCTGAGCCCAGTGTTCTTTCTACTCTATCACAGAGATAAACAGGCACATTTGTGAAGACTCCAGGAATTATAAATTATTCCTTGGGGGTCAAAGCAGGGACTCTGCTGGAGCTGAAATTCTCCAGATGGAAGGGAGGGTTTAAAGAATAGAGGCTTGGGCTCCCTTCCCCCACCCATAGAGGAGGGACATGCCCCTTTTCTCACCCTGAGTCAAGCTCCATTCAAGGCAATGCTGCTGCCCCAGGGCCTGTTTGGCCTGGCAGGCTCCCAGCCTCTGCTTCCTAGCTAGTGATCAACATTCAGGGAGGGAAGATGGAAGGATTCTGAGAAAGGGAGGGAAACTAGGAAGTTAGAGGAGAGGCCCAGGGTCTAGGGATCGTCTGCACATTCATTGCTATCAGTTACATCTCGCTAATTGCATTGAAAGTCTTCACTGTGGGACTGGACTGGCAGGCTCAGGACGCTGACACCTTGCTCTGTGCCACTGTCCCCTAGACTCTTGCTTTCTGACCTCAAAGCCACTGTGGAGGGGTGGAGAGCAGCCTGAGCCCTCTTCTCTGTCATTGATGGTTTCCATGGGTACCCCCAGACCCCTGTGGTAACTGGCACAGCACACCCTCTACCTCTATCCAATGTCCAAAATGGGACCAAAAGCAATACAAAGCCAGTTGCCATCAAGTCGGTTCAACTCATGGCAACCCCATATGCAGCAGAATAGAACTGCTTCATAGGGTTTTTGAGGCTGTGACCTTTTGGAAGCTGATCGCCAGGCCTTTCTTCTGAGGTGTTTCTGGGTGGTGCCACCCAGGGACTCTGTCTAAAAGGGAAGGGAGAAAGAAAAGGAGATAAGAAAGGGAGGAGAGCTAAAAAAAAAAAAAGTCTTAGCTAGGATGGATTCTGGAGTCCCGATGATCAATCAGCAGGCAGCTGAGACTGGAAAAAGCATGGGTTGGAATCCTAGTGCCTCCACTAAAAAAAATCACACAACAAAAGACAGAATCTTGCCAAGCCTCAGTTTCCTTATTTGCAAAGTAGAGTCTTAGTTCATAGAAAGTTATGAGGTTCAAATGAGATTGCAAGTGGAACTGCTCAGCATGTGGTTGATGCTCAAGAAATATCCATTCTCATTCCACCTCCCTACCTTCCATCTCTGTGAGGGAGCAGAGGGGAATGGAAATCAGCCCTGAAAGCAGAGAGAAGAGCAGACACTAGAATGGGATTGCTACATGTGGCAAATCAAAATACTGATGCACAGTAAAAATTGGAATTTCAGAGAAGAAAGGTTTTACTAGTACAAATATGCCAAAACAACAATAAAAAATTTGTTGTTTATCAGAAATTCAAATTTATCTGGGCATCTTATATTTTATCTGGCAACCCTAACCTGGAAGCCAACCAGGATGTTCGTACATAAACAAAACTCACTGATCTAGGAATCCACATAGTTTTCAAAGCACCTACCTATGTAGGTTGTACATAGGTAGGATAAGCACTGGATTGCCAATCACAAGGTTGGCAGTTCAAACTCACCAGCTGATCCTTAGAAACCCTATACAGGGTCGCTATGAGTTGGAACGGACTCCACAGCACTTGAAAACAACAACAATCAGACCCTTAATCCTTGGAGTCCTGGTGTGGCACTGTAGGGTAAGCACTTGACTGCCAAACACATGGTCAGTGGTTCAAACCTCCCAGCCACTCCTCGGAAACCCTATATAGGGTTGCTATGAGTTGGAACTGACTCAAGAGCACTTAACAATAACAACTCATTTTTGGAGAAAAAGATACGAGAAACTGCTTCAGTAAAGATGACAGCCTTGGGAACCCTGTGGGGCAGTTGGGCTCTGTCCTATCAGGTTACTATGAGTCAGAATCTAGTTGATGGCAGTGGCTTTGGTTTTGGTACCCACATTTGGGAGCTTTCACATTGGAAACCCATTTAATCCTCCAGTAACAAGGTTCAGTCATACTCTGGCTGGGAAAGTCCCTCAATTTGCCCATCTATAAAATTAGGATAAAGATGGCACTTAATTTCATTTGGTTTTCAATAAAGATTAAATTAGTTAATCCATTTAGGATTTAGCTTGGCATGTCATAAAAATGCTCATGAATGTTAACTCTTAAGATTACATTTTCTTTTCTAAGGCATAAAAAGTGCTCAGTACCTGTCCAGTCTGAGGTGTTATGTGACACTTTTGTGACTCATGTTGTAATAGAGGAAAACTACCCATCCAGCCTGGCCACAGCTCTCTGGACCAGGGGCCAGTGTCAAACAAGGCAGTGTGGCTAGTCTGAACAGTTGGCATGGATCTCTGCCCAACAGGGATGCTCTGAATTGAATGGAGACAATGGACTCTGTGAGGTTTTCCCTTGGGACCAGAGAAGGTGAACCACCACCCTATTACAAGGAGGCATCTCCAATGCACAGGTTGTGCCCTGTGTGCCTGGGAGGCATCATCCCAATTCTCTGTGGGGCCAACTGTAGCTTGGAAGTGCGGCTGTTAAGACAGCTTCCGTGGCTGCTCACCTCACAGCATTCTTACAATGTGCCCCTTCCACTTGGCAGTCAGGGCTTGTCTCTCCCTGCCAATCTGAAGGAAATGAAGGTTCAGCAAGCAAACTGACAGGCTGATACTTGAACCCAGAGCCCCCAGCTCCAGGGACACTGTTCTTTCTGCTCTAATACAGCTTCCTGAGCACCTATCTCTTCTTCTTTGTCTTTCCCTCTGCTGCCCAGAAACACATAGGGGTACAGAACAGATTGACACCAAGGACATTTTGATCCAAGAGTCTGGACCCCAAGGCTGACTCTTGGCTTCACCAGCAGTATGGTGAGTCTGTACGGGCTACTTAGAGTGGTTGCAAAAGTAGACACAGTAGAGTTCACCTGGCACATACGTAGAACCAGCCGTCCTCAAACAGCTGATCAATACAAACTATGTGCCTCTGTTCTTAACTGCTATCTGTAAAAGTAGTTAAGGCCTATTAAAAGTGACAATGGCCCCCAAATACTTACAGTAAAATTAACTATAGATGCAAATCTGACTGAACAATCCCATTGGGTAGGAAATCTTTAAAACTTTAAGCACTGATTAGAGAAAGTAGACAATTAAGATGTTAAAATAATACACATTAAAACTTGTCATTGATGAAAAATTGACAGAAAAATCAAATTTTCATCAAGTTGGGGCACCTGGAAGTTTGGGCTTGGTTAACAGCAACAAAAAGCTACAAAAGGAAGCTCACAGCAGTAGAGATGGTAATATATAAAATATGCGATTTTGCTATGAGAAAGAGTCTAGAGCAGGCAAGTTTATATAGAGAGTAGATTAGTGGGTGGCAGGGGCTGGTGAGATTGAGGAATTGGCAATGGTGAATGACTGCTAATAGGCACAAGTCTCCTTTGTGGAGTGATGAAGAGATCCTGAAATTAGATTGTGGCAATAGTTGCACATTCTGAGCATCTACTAGAAAACACTGAATCATATACCTTGGCGCTGTGGGCTAATGCGTCAGACTGCAAAGTCATTTGAACTGCAAGGTTGGTGGTTCAAGCTCACCAGCTGCTCCTTAGAAACTCTATACAGGGTCGCTATGTGTCAGAAATGACTCAACAGCACTTAACAACAACAATGGGTCAATTGTAGGGTATGTGAATTACATTTCAATAAAGCTGTTAAAATATGTGCTATGGAGTAAACAAAACTGGCAGACGGATCACATTGTGGTTGAATAATTTTTATGAAAAAGAATAGATTTTGATGAGAACAACTTCAGCAAAACGAACGTTAAAAAATGGCAGCAGTTTACTGGCCCTACACGGAAAGCTGATGAAGGGATTAAGTGGAATTGATGGAGTTTGTTTTGAAAAAATACTTGCACAATGAAAATTTGTCAGTATGGGTACAGTTCTCATTCCATTGTCTGTATTCACAAACAGGAATCCCTGAGTGGTGCAAATAGTTAACACCCTTGGCTGGTAACTAAAACATTGGTGGTTCAAGTCTACCCAGTGGAACCTTGGATGAAAGCCCTGGCGAGCTACTTGTTAAATAAGAAATCAGTTATTGAATTACAATTCTACTCTGAAACACACGAGGTCACTATAAGTTGGAATCCAATCAATGGCAATTGGCTTGATATTCATAAACCTGGTCCACAGTAGGAAATGGGGAGCCAAGAGAGCCCATTTGTCTACTGTTCACTCCTCCCCTGCCCTGAGGAAGAGAAGTTACTGACAAAGCCTTAGTCATTTGAGGAGCTTTTCTGGCCACAGAACTTCAGAATGTTGGGAAATCCCAGCATGGCTGGATTTTAACAGTGCTCACCTTGCTTTGCAAAGCGTTTCCACCGCCTCATTTTGGTCCGGCGTCCAGCAAACAGAGCACTGACCCTCTGGGCCCAAGCTGCATGACTCTCAGCATCAGTCACCCCACAGCGGGGCCTTGTCATCTGGCGTAGGGTGGCATGGTCCAGCATGCCACTGACAGGCAACCGGGATACCCACTGGAACTCTCTGTCAGGAGGAATGAAGAGAAAGAATCTGGAAGGGAGGATAGGGGTGAGGGCAGGGAATCATCCTGGAGACAGCAGGAGGCTAGGGACAGAGAGGGAGTGAGCAAGGGAGGATATGACCCCAGGCAAGCATGGAGGTGGCTTTCCTGGGCTTGACCATCTATCCATCCAGGGATAGAAGGAGACGACCAAAGCTTTGCTCCCCAAAACCTCCCTCTGTCCTACCTGATAGCATTGCTGAGCTGTGTAGAACTGGAAGCTTTGGGGCCCTGTTCACTGAGGTAGCCATACTTCTCCAGGAAGGCCTAGGGGAGAGAGGACAGCCAATAATTTCCACATTGCTGCATCTTTCCCCCTTCCTTGGACTCCAAGGATCAATAAATGGCCCATATATCCTGCCCAGTCGCACCTTTTGTCCCATGAAGGTGTTATGAGTTACAGCAGAAAGAAACCTAGGATCCAAATCAGGAGGACTGAACTCAATTGCAGGCTACCACTATAACTAGCTGGATGACCTCCCGCAAGTCACTTAAGCTTTTTGAACTTTAGCATCCTTATCTCTACAACTGAGTTAGCAATAACTATCCTACAGATCACAATGGTGAGAAATTTAGCAGCTACCAGCTCTGGAATCAAGACACCCTGAGTTTGAGTCCCAGCTAGCAAATTATTTTTTCAACACTACAGGTTTCTCATCTGTAAACTTGGTTTAATTATGTTGTTGTTAGTGGTCATTGAGCCAGTCCAGATTCACGGTGACGCCTTGTGTACAAAACAGAACTGTTTCACATGGTTTTCAGGGATGCAGACTTCCAGACGCAGATCACCAGGCTTGTCTTCCAAGGAGCCTCTGGGTGGGTTTCAGTCACCAACCTTTCAGTTAATAGTGAAGTGTTTAATTTTTGTACCACTCAGAGAAACTGGACTTAATAACAGTACCTACTTCTAGGGAGTCTTGGCGTGGCACTGGAATAAAGCATTGGACCACAAGATCGGTTTTATACTCACCAGTCTTTCCTTGAAAACCCTATACGGGTCACTGTGAGTCGGAACCGACGCCACAGCATTTAACTACAACAACAACAACTTTATAGGTTGAAGTTCCTGGATAGTTAAAACAGTTAACATACTTGTCTGTTAACTGAAAGGTTGGAGGTTCAAATCAACCCAGAGACACCTCAGAAGAAAGCTTTGGCGATCTATTTTTTAAAAATCAGCTACTGACAGTTGCTAACCAGAAGTCATCAGTTGGAGAACACCAGCCATTCGGAGACAGAAAGATGTGGCAATCGGCTTCCATAAAGATTACAACCTTGGAAACCCGATTCAATCCAAGTTCTATTGTGTTCTATAGGGTTGCTGTGAGTTAGAACTGACTCAAAGTAACAGGTTTGGTTTTGGTTTGATTATATGAAATAACGTATGCAAAGCTGAATTCTTGAAGCCTCATTCTGTCAATAATTTTTTTTTTTTAATTTCATTTTAAGAGTTTGGGATGAAATTGTAGGAACAAAGATAATTTTTAAATACTTATTTGTGAACTTTTTACTGAGACTATAATTTTCATCTCTTTTACAGAGAATATTATTTTCATCTCTTTTACAAATATGAAAAACAAAAAGGTACAGTAAAACAAATCATTCCTCCCCAGCCTCCCCACCCCCCACCCCCCAAAAAAAATCAGCCACTGAAAACCATTTGGAGCACCTTTCTTTTTTGACACACATGGGCTTGGCATGAGTTGGAATTGACTCAGTGGTAACTAGTTTGGAACTTAGAGAGACTTATTTTGAGGATTAAACACAATAGTGCATATAAAACAGCAGGATGCCTGTCACATAATCAGGGTTTAATAAAAAGCAGCTATTATAATAGTGTTATATAAATATACACTATTCATATACATCAGCTTGCTCCTGGAACATCTAACTTTTCTAGGAAACCTTCCAGTATTGATCAGAAATTGAACTGACCAAGTGCCAGCTCAACCATGACTGAATTGAGAATGATCTCTCTAGTTCTGGCTTCTTCTTAAACTATTCTCTTCCCCTAAAATGTAGATATATTTCAGGCCCAATGAATACCAAATGTGCTTACCCCTGACCTTTATTGCTGTTGTTCTTAAATGCC